TCAGCATGTTTTAAACTTACTATATACCGTCAAAAGGTGTATAGTATAACTTGAACAGGTACTCGGGGGAACGGCAAGAAGGCAAACCCATCCTTCCTCATTGTCCCAAAATAGGACTACACCCCCTTCTCTCCTTGAAATCGGCCCAAACATCATATTTCATGTAACCAAAATGTACGTATCTGTTAGGTATATTGTATACTTTAATCAGTAGTTAATATAAAGCGGTAAAGTGAATCGATGCTTGATACAGTATTTTACTGATATCACTGAGACGTCCTCAACCCTTTACTGTTACACCTAATGGAGCTCCTTGAATAATAAGCTGGAACCAACTAGCTTTTGCATGATTATGCATTTTAGTTCCTTACTGCAAAGCTTAGTCCGATGCAGGCTATGTCTAAGGTCCCGCGATTATGAAGGTGTCTGTCAAGCAAGGATGTGTTGATGAAATGAGGTAGTGGTATTAAGGTGAAAATACTTGTCATTTCACCTTTTCATGAAACGTTTCGGACAAGCTGTTGGTTTTACAGGGTTTAACGGCCTATCGATACCTAAGGCCATTTAAGGACGTGCCCCCATATGTGTTGTGTATGCGTGCATGTGTGTATCTGTGCCGCAGACAGGGTATGTTGATGTATTTGCCTCCTTGTGATAGCGAGGATCTGATGCCGAATTTATAGTGCTATCTCACTGAAATACCATGCCGAAGGCATACAGCACTGCATTCCACCCGGTCATATTATACCGACAACGGGTGAACCAGTTGTCTTTACCCTAAATGCTGAACGTTAAGCAGGGAATGACAACTACCAGTTTTAAGGACTTTGGTATGTCCTTGCCTGGGGAGAAAACCCACTGTCTTCCTCACCCGGGCGAACTTTAAACATTATAGCTAAAAGTGAGGTATTGCCAAGCAAGGCGATAAGAAGTAAATAAAAAAAAGTAGATGAAGTAGGCAGAAATACAAAGATCCCAAATAGTACAATGGATCCGGGGACAAATTTTGGAGGCTTGTGTGTCCCCAAATAGAGGGCACACAAGTAAAGTCTCAATAATCCAGGGGGTTCCTACATCAGTCGCTTCTTACCATACATGCTGTTGGTAACAGCAGGTGTATTCTTTTCTCGATCCCCGAGGGAAGGACCTGATGGTGGATGGTGATATTGACACCATACCAAAGTCATGTGCTTGATAGTCATTCACCAAAGCAAGCTTAAGAACAAATATTGCTAATTAAAGTTTCATGAAACAAGACCGATTTGACAGAGAAAGTGGGTTGGGGTCGTTCATTTGAATAACTTGATAGCCCTTCTTTCCAGTAAAAAATAGCCAATCCTCCATTTCCTTACTGTCCACTTTATGGAAACACAGGTGCTTTGTCAAGATAGTTTGTTCATTTAAAGAAGAAAAACAGCTGTTCAAAAAACAATTACTTTTGACCCTTCATTTGACTGTTATCATCGGGTCATAGACCCACAAGTGGCGTATAATGCGCCATCTATATGATACATGAAACAGGACAGTCAGACTTGGTGGGTCACTCCCTATTCCACCAGAAGTTGCTGCTTTAAATACAAGGGGAATGTGAGACATGGTGCTTCGCTCACTGTTTCACCAGAAGTTGCTGCTTTAATTGAAATGGGACTGTCAGACAAGGTGGGTTCCTCCCTATTTCACCAGAAGTTGCTCATTTTAATGAGGAAATTAAGATTAATAATGACCACTTTTTCTATAATGAATGGTATTTACAAAATGTAGTATATGTTGGAGATATAATAAAAGTGGATGGAGACTTTTTAAGCTATACAGATTTTAAAGAAAAGTATAATGTTACCACTGGAAATTTTTCCACAATACAGAAGCATTTGCCAATCAATTAAATCATTTATGAGAGATAATGATATAAGACCAAATAATTCATTTATTGAAAGACCTTTTATACCCTTTCACATCAATGTAATATTAAGAAGTTAAAAAGGAAGTAGAGATATGTACAACACCCTCATTAATAGAAGAAACCTTACTAATACAGCAAAAATAAAATGGCTATCTAACGAACTTTTCTCCATTGTCATCTGGAGATCTAGTTTCTCTCTCCTTTACAAAATAACAAGAGACATTAGCGTTCAATGGTTCACTTTCAGGCTTCTTTCAAGAATACTTCCACTTAATAATTGGAATCAAACAATGTGATTTATGAAATTTATGCCAAGAAAGCAAACAAACTATAGAACATCTTTTTTATCAGTGTCAAATAACAAATAACTTCTGGCAAGACATACGTAGATGGATATACTTAAAAACTGACCAAACATTCAAAATAAAGGAAGATATAATACTTTTTGGCAAAACTTCTGCATTCCAAAAATCCATTCCAGCTAATATCATCATGATTCATGCAAAATTCTTCATCTACTGCAGCTCCAGAAAGAAAAGAAACCCTAGTATGACTGAATTTGAAAAATATCTATTTAATGTACATGAGATTGATAAGGTAATACTCCAAGGGAGGGGAGAAATTGAGACCTTTGAGAAAACATGGGAATCATGGTCGAATATTTTCATACCCTAAAGCTGAAAATGCTACAAGCCTATACTATCTTATTTTAAATCCTCTATGCGTAAAGAAATTAGTAAACCTAGCTAAAACCCGAGAATACACGAGAACTATATATAATATATATAACAACAATTAAGTATATATTTACATATAGTATTTAATATATTAAATTATATATGAATATATATAGGTATATAATATTCTATATGTAAAATGCTGCGAGATGAAACTGATGATTGACATATAATCTTATAAAATTAAAAAGAACTCACATGCAATATATAACTGTGTATACATGTTTATGTTTTTTGGTTTGTTTGTGTATGTTTATGCATGTATGTATGTATAAATGGATATATTTGCACATGTATATATGTTCTGACGACTCCCCTTGTAATAATGCTGTGTAGCAATGAAACAATTTAGAGATCAAAAGTGACACATACTGAAGTATCCTTTTGGTTTGGATTATTACATAAACTACATGTACTGATTTGTGCTACGTTTATGCATGCATGTAGGAATGTGTGTATGTTAACAATATTTTCATATGTCATGTATGTTTGTATGTATCCTGAGTAAATAAAATGTACCCAGGTAAGTGTATTCAGTATACAATATGTGTGTGGCTGTGTTAGGGCTGTCCCAATATATCGGAAAACAGGTATATCGCAATACACGGGCATATTGTATTGTACCGCAATACACAGATGAAATATTGCTGTATCGCAATATGTTTCTAGAGCTGATTTTCATGTATCTCAATCTACTTAGTAATCTAACTTTGCAAATTACTACAACTTCTAACAGATAGGCCAATAAGCATACAAAAGGCTTTCAATAGTGGTGGAAATAAGTTCAAATTTTGTAATCACTAGTTGGTTTAAAAAAAAAACTTAAATCCATGTGATCCATATTCTGACAACAACTTATCATAAAATCGAGCACATCTTTCCTATGACAATATTAATTCTGTATTGCGATATATCTTGATACACTCTAGGCGTATTGTGACACCCCTAGTGTGTGTGTGTGTGTGTGTGTGTATGTATGCTATGTATGTATGTATGCTATGTATGTATTATATATATATATTATCTATGTATGTCTGTATGTATGTATGTATGTATGTATGTATGTATGTGTGTGCGTGTTTGTGCATATTGATATTACTGTGTAAAATGTATACCGGTATGTATGTTTGTCTGAAAAATAAAAGGAAAAAATGAAAGAAAAAAAGAACAAGAGGCCCATGGGCCTTAACGGTCACCTGAGCCCTAGAGTATTTATTTTTGTTGTTGAAATATGTACCAATTTGAGTAAAAAATAGTTAAGTATAATGTTAACTTAACTTTGTCAGGACCATGAGCTGATCATTCCTAGACCGATTTTCAGTGAGATCGGCCTATTAGAACTTGTTTTTAAGTTTGAAATAGGTATTTACAAAATAGCGGCCATGGCAGCCAAATTGTATTTCTGATTGACCCGAAAAATAACAACACTTTGTCAGGACCATGATTCGATCATTCCTACAAAGTTTCAGTTCAATCGGCCAAGTAGAACTTTACTTTAAGTTTGAAATAGTTTTTCAAAATGGCGGCCGTGGCGGCCATATTGGATTTCTGATCGACCCGAAAAATAACAACACTTTGTCAGGACCATGAGTCAATCATTCCTACAAAGTTTCAGTTCAATCGGCCTAGCAGAACTTGACTTTAAGTTTGAAATAGTTTTTCAAAATGGCGGCCGTGGCGGCCATATTGGATTTCTGATCGACCCGAAAAATAACAACACTTTGTCAGGACCATGAGTCGATCATTCCTACAAACTTTCAGTTCAATCGGCCTAGCAGAACTTGACTTTAAGTTTGAAATAGTTTTTCAAAATGGCGGCCGTGGCGGCCATATTGGATTTCTGATCGACCCGAAAAATAACAACACTTTGTCAGGACCATGAGGCGATCATTCCTACCAACTTTCAGTTCAATCGGCCCAGCAGAACTTGACTTTAAGTTTGAAATGTAAAATGTTAACGGACGACGGACGACGACGGACGAAAACGGATAGCAATAGGTCACTTGAGCTAAAGCTCAGGTGACCTAAAAAAAAGATTAATAAGGAAACTGTATAGCACTTCATGCCAGGTATCTACTGGCCAAATATCATGACCCTAGTTCTTCTAGTTCTTCAGAAGAAGTCGTTCAACAGAAAAAAATGACAGGCGGATGACAGGCGGACGCCGCAGTACGCCCTTCAGGCCAGGTGAGCTAAAAATGGAACTGTCAGACGGGGTGGGTCCCTCCCTTTTTCACCAGAAGTTGCTACTTTAAATAAAATGGGACTGTCAGACTAGGTGGGTCCCTCCCTATTTCACCAGGTGAGGACTAATTAATCCAGTCATTTCTTTGTTGATGGAGAAAAAATGAACAAATTCTTTCTTCTTCTTTTCTGCTTTAATTTTTTAATTATGACTGTTACACACTTGTAAATAAAACCTAGCACACACCACTGACCCATCCACAACTAGTTGACTGTATGTTCAAAATACAGGATCTATCTGCAGCTTATGTTTGTCCTCACTAATTTCGAACAGTTTTCAATTAAAATTGTGCTTTAAAAGCAAGAGATGACACATAGTTATAATTATGTGTACTAACGCTGTGAAAAATAAATGCTCATATAATTTATCATGTTCCCAGTGGTTTATACTGGATTGCCCAGTTCATGACTTTCTGTCGAGGAATGAATTCTTCATGAATGATTATACCTTATAACATGTTTACAACTAGTGTATAATCAAGAGATGATTAGAAAACATAAATGAATGAGGTTTTGAAAATTAATTTGTTTTTAATTTAATATTAGAGTGAAAACTCACCTCAATTACCAGTATTATTTCCAAAACAAAGGAGCCAGAACACAGTTCATCAAAGAGTTGAAATTTCTGCTGTGTCATGAAAGTTTTTTTCACTGATAATCAATTTAAATGTTTGATACCCCAAACATTCAGTTTTCTAAGTTTGAACAAGTCAACATACATTTGTAGATACAAAATAAACAAGCATTCTGTGGGTATTGATGAATCAATACATGTCCCCTACCGGCCCCCCAAACTTTAACCTTCAGATTTTGGCCAAGATAGTTAAGTCCAAATCATGTCAAAAATAAAAAACAAGAATTATTTATTCACTTTCACTAAACAACATTAATGCTAGACCCCTAAAGAACCTCTGTCCATAAAATCAGCATACTAACAATATTATAAAGTGAATGGTGAGCCATTATAAAACTTTTACCCAAACTTTAACCTGCAGATGTTGGCGACGGACAGACGGACAGACGGACAGACGGACGGAAGCAGACAAAACCTTTAGTCCCCCTGGTTTCACCGGTAGGGGACTTAAAATGTGTCCTTGAAAGCCCAGACATTTCTGTTTCCTAAACAAACATTTGGTATAACAAACATCTGGTATATCAAACATTGAATATATATATATCGTGTCTTTACCTCCCTTGATACTGATTATATTACATAAATAAAGTTGTAACAAAGACATTGATGGCCACAAGGATTTGAAATGTTAGCAATGATCAACTGTATATTCTTTTTTGGTATTTTTTCTGCCTTCATAAATAAATAAATAATCCAAAATGTCACTGTGACTATCACTTACATTGTTTTCATCAATAATTTCAATACTCTAAAACAGAAAATGTCAATCTGATTAAAATCATCTGTTACATGGCTTCAATAACTTCGTACTAAGCCTGAACATCTGATGTTCAGGCAGAGCCATGTAACAGATGGTTTTAATCAGATTGAGAAAATGTTGGCTTTCTTCAGAATTCAATTGTTCTGATCGTTCCATAAGTATTACCAATGAAATGAGATCAAACAGACATGTGGCCAAAAAATAATAAAAAATATTATACTTAGTGCAGCAATAAAGAACAAAAGAGAAGTGCTCCAATTATATTCACAGATAAGTCCAATAATATTTAAAACAAAAAAACATTGTACTTAGATTAAAGCTTACATTCTAGTCAAAAATAGTTTTCACCTCTATGAACTTCCTGCCCCAGCAGGACCCATTCCTCCTTAACATCTTCTCCAAAAGCAGATTCTCACTACAATGTGTGCATGTGGTCAGAATAATACACCATACCAACATTTTTACTAAGTCCCTAACAATGGGATAATAACCATGTACAGAAGTGGCCGTTTTACAGCAAGATATACTCTATGTAGTCAGGAATATATGTTCATAAATTACTGACGGTTTTTATGGGCACTTTGACAGTGTACATGAGCACAGAATAATTGAAAACAACATCATTACTCCACACTTAATTGGCAAGATAGTTGCCATGCAATGAAATATAGACTATCCTCAGATATGGCAACATGATTATAAATTAGGGTGCCCAGGTATTTCACTTTAAACACATATTTCAGAATTCAAAATATGGAAAAAGTATGTACCAAGCATAAATAACATAACAATCAAAACTAGTGTTTATGCTGCTAATCAGATCATTCTGTTTTATTTACTCATCAGACAAAGTAGACACATGTACAATGTCACGTATATTTTTTGTAATAAAAAATAACAACTACATACAGTAAAACCTTGTTATATTGTCCCCATTTTTCAAGCAAAATTTTGGCACCATATTTCTTTTTTTTTTAAATATGTCAAAGTAGATGCATGTATTTTTTTTGTAAACAACAAATAACTGTTACAAAAAGGAAAATCTTGTTATGTTGCCATCATTTTTCAAGCCGAATTAGGTTTTAATGATATATCAAATGCTATGAATTTGTTAAGAAAAAAGATAGGTGGGACACTGAAATATATTGAGACATGAAAGGCATTATAATAGGATTTGACTGTATAGAGAAGAGGGGCATTATATCAAGGTTTCTGCACATATGCATATATATATATATATATAAACACATTTATTCTATACAAATGGTGATTTGTATGCAAAATAACAAACATTCCAATAAAAGAGCAACACAAGTTATAATGTGTCTGTTAAAGCTAATAAAATCCATTAATGAAAAAAAAAAAAAGTTTAAATACATGTTATTATTTTTCAAGTTTTCAATCACGTTCAATGATCAACAAAACATTTCTGTAAAAAGCAGAAACCGGTTAATTTCCTGTTATAATTCTGAGTTAACATTTGCCATGATGTTAACTTTAACGTAACTTGGACGTAATTGACAAAACCCTGTCTATAATGGTTCTATATATATATCAGAAGCTCATCGATCCAGGAGTAGAGCCAGCGCCGTTACTTTAGTTTAGGTTTGGTTGGTTCTGTTATCCCTTAGTATATCAGAAGCTTGTACGTGTAGGTTTGGATCCCCAAATATATGATATAATTGGTTATATAAATAGAACTGTTTTTGACACTGACATCATGATCACAAAACAAGCCTTCCACCCATCTTATCCAAATCGTGATTAACAAGGTTCCATTATATAAAATTTATAACATACTAGGTACATTGCTCCTGTGTATACCAAGGCAATTATTAGTAATTAAATGGTGTGTTACTTAACAAAAACATAAATATAATATCTGTACCACATATTAAAACATGGATCATTATATACATTATACATATTTACATATGTACAGCTTTTAAACACATACTTTTACTTGTGACAATATAAAAATATATTGAAAGCGTCCGATACTTAAACTGTCCAAACTTTATACTTATAGCTAACAGTCAGATAGCCTGCCATTTTCTTAATCATAAAATCATATTTTATTATTAAAATTAATCAAATAAATAGTTTTGGATTGTTTTAACGCCCATCATCAACTTATGTCAAAATGCCTTACATTGTATGTACATATATGTATACTTTGCAGGAAGCACATTTAATGGTATTGAAAATTAAAAATGCAAGCCAAAAGATTGAGGGGTATCTCTTGTACATATAAGTAATTTCTTACTAAACTAAAGCACTTCAAATTATTTGGAAAAAAATCAGATAATATTGATCAGACTTCTCAAAAACATCCAATTCTAGACTTGATGTGATATGATAACGAATTAATGAAATCGCACTACATGTACATAAGTTATGCTTGACCAATCAAAATGACATCGTGCACCTAAATAATTGACTCTTCACAATACAATGGTGCATGGATTTTGCTGGGCCTTTGATGGAAATCTGTTTAAGCAACCCTATAAAACTATTCCCCCACAACGACCATAGGTTTCTTCACTCTTGACTCATTGGATAAACCTTAAAGGAATTGGTAAACTTCTTTTGGTTACCCACTATATATACAGCTACCAGAGGTAATCCAATATGGCGGACCTGAAACTCGAGAACGATAACCCAAGAATGACTTGTTCCTGTGTATAGTGCGCACCCCCTTTTTGACATGTCAATATTTACCTAAAAAAGAGTGCACTCTGCGCCAGATTTACGGTAGTTGGCTACATCCTTGATGTTCTTTCATTGGTCAATCTTCTAAGTATGCTGCCAGGTAACAATGCTTTGCAACGTTATCTCCCATGGTGACGTCATAGTTAATGGCAATTGTGTCCCCAATCAGAAACAGAAATTATGTACCAAGATATTGAACGTGTTGGGTCATGATGGCTGATTATGTTTATTTAACTCTTGTTAGTTAATTTTCAAATTGCAAAAGATACTGGATAAACCTCATGTGTTCATAAAATTTGAAAATTAACTAGAGTAAGATAAACATGATAACTATACCTGTAGCCATCACTCATGTGGAAACATCTATATCCCAACAAGCTTAGTAGTGTTTTTACTTATACTTGACTTCTTGCAGTGTCACATGCTCCAGTTACCAGAAAGTTGCTTTCAGTACAGAGTCCATGCTTGGGAATGAGCAGTTTCATGAATATGGGTCCCGACATTAACATTGTTATCTCTGACAAAGCCTTCCTACAAGGACATTGCAGGGGTGACCACAGTACTTAGTGTCAAATTAAATTCTGCAATCAACTGCATCAGCATTATCATATTTTCAGGATAAAACATCAATATATACCACAAATACATGATGGCATGCAGCAGCACATTCAATTCCTTACATACTTAAAGAAGATTCTGAAAATCATATAAATTATAGATTATATTTTTGCATACATAATTAGAATACAAATGATGTTCAATTTGTTAAGAATGTTAAGGAATTGTGAATTTCAGAAGCACAACTATGTTGCTGGTTATAGCTCCAGTATATAAGAATCCTCATAATACAAAACAAAGTTGTTTGGTCATAATTCTAAAATAAACCAAACCATTACATTATTTCAATACCAACTGTCCAAAAAAAACCACAATGTCTGTAGCATAAGCTTCTGGTATTGATTTCAGAAGCATGATTTTTCAAGTTACACAGCAATCAGGGGAAAGGTATTATCAACACTTTGACAGAACACCTTGCACTACCAAATTCAACTGTCATGTCACCAAGGAAACAAGAAGGCTGTGTAAATATATGTTTCTCCTTTCCCTGCTTTGACCATCTACAGCAATGAGTTTGAGGGTCAGAACATAACATGAAAGCAATGAGCGAACTGACAATATTGCTGGACCAAATAGATCAGGATCCACACAGTATATGATGGAAGTTGGTATACGATGCATGATGGTGAAAGTTGACTTGGTCTAGGGCACAAAACTGTTTGAGATACCAACACATACAACACAACTTAACACTGAACATTGCTGAGAGTGCTGGAACAGCCACTGGAACAGGAAATGTAAGCTACAAAGTCTGCAGGGTCCAACTTTTGCTGTGCCTCCCACTTGAACGTTTGTAGAAAGAGAGCTCTATGCACAATCATAGTCAGGCACTTGTCACACACCTGCTTCAACATCTGTAACATTCCTGGTAAACAAGTCAGTCATTTTGTTTGATTAAATAACTTGAGAATTTCACTATTTTATTTACAGTCCATATCTGTGATGAAGTCTTATATTTTCCTGACTGCACATACAACAGAATTTATCATTCTTCTAAACACCATCTCCAAAAAGTCATTTTCATCTCTCAACAACAGCAGGATTTGTCTATTGAATTTTCTTGTCAACACTTTGCGTAGAAATCTAATCCTTCTTCACTCCGTTCACTTTTGTAGAAAGTCTTACCCCTATTCAATCTGTCCTCTGTTTGTAGAAAACTAATCTCTTTTCAATCTATTCACAGGTATACCTCAGCATATTATATCAGCTTCATAAATTCCCATTTATATTTCCTATAATAGAATGGGGTGATTTATACCTGTTATGTATAACAACCACATGATGAGCTTACAACAAATCTCAAACTTATAGGGCCTAAGTTTGGTAGTTATCTCCTTTTGACCATTTGGCCAGTAATATGCATATAAATTTATTCAGATAATACTTTGACACAGCTCTCCAAACAATTAACTGATCTTTCCATTTCAAAAATTGTTTCAACAATTAATCTTTCAACACACAGGTGTCGACCTCAGAGAGACACATTTTTGACTAGTGTACATTTATACTTTATAAATAGTTGTGACACTTCATTGATAACCTTGTACATGCTGAATTACAGAACACACTGCAGTCTTGCACGCAGTACAGCTTCATGAAATCGTACACTTGTCCTTATCCTTGGAAGGTGATGCAGAATTTGGTGAAGACGCATTATATCGAGGAAAGTCTTTGGGGTTGGGGCTTCCCCTATTGTGTCTTGAAGCATAGTTTGCAGGCAGGTTGCTTCCCTGATGTCCACCATCTCTGTTTTGTATTGAGGACTCTTCAGTAAGTAACACAAAACCAGCATCAGACGGACCATCTGAAATATAAAATTGATTTGGAATCTTACAGTAGAGATGTGTCTGTAAGAAACAGATGCCCCCTTCCCACACTTACGAACTAAATCAAGGTCACAGACATCAAAGGTCAAGGTTACAAAGAAATCATGCAACATGCTTTACTCATAGAGGACCATTAGAATGTGAAATTACATGACTCTAGTTGCAGTACTTAGTCAATGTCAAAGGTTAAGGTCACAGAAAAGACATGCTGTACTTAGTCAATAACTGACCTAAAGTCAAAACATTAACCCAAGGTCACAGAGGTCAAGGTCATGGATGAAAGTCTCAAAAATACCATGAAACATGCTATACTTATCAATGCACATAAACATATGACGATACCCGACACTAGCAGTACTTACAGCCATAGGTATGTATACAGACAAGGGTAACACCTAATTCACACATCACTTCATGGAGGGGCATAACTACATACACTCTTATAAAGACTTTTAATGTGTTGCTCTCAAGCCATCGTCGGATATCCACGGTTGATTTCGCTTTGGTACTCATTCATCATGATGAGTGAGTACCGAAGTGAAATCAACCATGGGTATCAGACCATGTTTCTCAAGCTAGCTGGGTTGCAATCTACTACATCAACAGAAATGTTGTCTAATGAAAATAACACCAAGGACTATATTGCATAACATGTAGTTTTTCTAATGACGAATGGTAAATATGGCAATGAATTTGAAAGTTTTATTCTCTAGTTAATATGAAAGATTATGCAATATTAAATTCAAAATCTTGGAAATAAATTAATTAAATGAATGTATATTCAGCCCCAGACTTGTAATTTATATGAAACAAATATATTATATTTATGCATAATGATGGACACAGGCAGTTAGTTGCCTCTAAATCTAAACCAATGATTCAATACCTACTACAGTTTGTTTGCTTTTAAAAACGTTGTTTACTTTAATGTATTTATTAAAACCTATACATTTGCCTTGTGATCCTATTTCATGTCTATGCTTTTCCAGCGTTTATCTAAACAGATTTTAAATTCTTTAACTGTAGTTGAGTCTAAAACTCCCCGTGGGAGGCTGTTCTCAATTATATGTCTAGAAGTTGAAAATGAACTTTTGTATGTAAATTGCAGTACTTTATATATTCAATTTTAGTGACCGTATCTTTTGTACAAAATCTCTCATCAAAGATATTATTAATAATCTTAAACACAAAAATAATGTCTTCTAGCATTCTTTTTACATTTAAAGCTTGGTAGATTTAGTTTCCTGTTCACTGTACAATTAATCCTCTAACCCTTGCATTTATATATGACGTAAGTAGCTGGATCTACAACTATCAACCAAATTTCCTGTTCACTGTACAATTAATCCTCTTACCCTTGCAGTTACATGTACTTATCACATAATGTAAATATACCCTTGTCATATTTTTTTGCATATTAACCCATGTAACATGACCTATCAGCCCTGTGATTGGTTATAGGCTTCAATTGTTTCAATTGTGATGTCACGCCTAAGACAACTAAATGACGTCACAGACTTAAGCACTAGAGTCAAAATGGTGGCTTTTGACATTTCAAGGTTGCATGAAAATTGTCATTTTACACAATAAATGCCACAAATCTTGATCATGTGATAAAAAGGATCTTACACTCGTTTTATTTCATATGAAATTTATGAAACTTCTCACAAATTTTTCAGAGGCTCGCTAAATTGAAAAATTCTAAGACTCGGTTCACAAACCTTATATGAAATGGAAACTCATGAAAGATCATATTCCGTCTTTGCGTATTGCAGAATTATCTTCTCTTGGGAGCAGGTATTGATTGTTACGTCACTTGTTTGTGAGAGTAACGTCATCAATTTTTGAGAAAACGACGTAATTTTCTCACACAAACCAATGACGTAACAATCAATACCTGCTCCCAAGGGAAGATAACTCTGCAATACGCAAAGACAGAATATATGATGTAAGTAGCTGGATCTACAACTATCACCAGAAGAGTGTAGTATCCAGTCCCTTATTTCATTCCTTATAACTTATATGACACAAAAGCAAAAGTATACAACTTGATACATAACGTGGTCATTATTCTGTTTCATTAAGTTTATTACAAATTCTTTAGTAGGAGTTGCAGGTATTAAAAGTGAAAATTCAAAACAAATCCTTAAGATCTGCTTTAAAGATTTACAACCCTTATAATAAAGGTCTGATTGGGTGTAAATAAATAACTTAACAGTTCAAACACTAGAACAGTACAAAACTGGCGAAGTTATTAAGATAAATGGCATGTTAATTTATAAATATGACATGCAAACAAGTTAACTTTGTATATGAAAACCATAATCATTAATGTGTTTTCCCACATGTGGTTCATTAACTAATTCACCCCTGAAATTTCATAATGAACCATTCCAACCTTTGAATTGGAAGAGCTCAAATGTGTCTTCAGAGGTGAATGAGTTAATTAATCAGATACACGAAAGTGTTTTCATCTCTATGATTATGAATCAATGGGTTAGGAAAGTGTGGCCTAGCCACTGATGAGTAACCTATATCCAAAACAATCTTTGACTAACAATTATCATTGAAAATTTCTGTGTTGCTCTTTGCCAATAAAAATCAAGAATTAGAAAAGAGAATGGAGTATAAAGTACAAAAAATATTTCTAACTGCTTTTATTATATGATCAGGCTATATTTTGTTATGGTTATAAAACCATCCCATAAATTTTGAATACGTAATTTATGTGATGAAGACACCAATGGTGACATCACAATGAGATGTAATAATTCATTGAGCAGTAAGAGCACAATTCGCAGGCGTTTTCTTTCCTTTTTTATATCATTTTGTGATGGAATGTGTTAATTTACTTAATGAGGTTAATCATTTAATGAAAACAATCTCAAACTCATATAATATTCTACCTGACTTTTATACAATCTTGCTGACTTCAATACACTTCCATTTATATCCTAAACGAACCTAATGGCTGGGATCTGACTGTCCCCCTCAGATTTCTCCATGAGATTCTTACCAGTTTCTATGTCGCTAGACAGCTGGCTGGTCAGGGTGTCGGGTCTCTGTTGCATTTTTTCAATCTCATCCAGAAGATTTGGAACACTGAAGTGTCGGCGACCTGTAAGGAATTATTTCGAATGGAGGATCAACTGATGTTAAAAATGATTGTATATATCTTTGAACCTTGATAGGATTATTTCTGTTTTACTCGCACTGTTTAAGAGTCACAACCTTTGAACAAGACCTAATACCAGTTGGCTGTGCCATGAGAACAACCTGAAGCCATCTTACATTCAAAATCAAACAGAAACTAGAACAATGACCTGACAGAAAGGCCCCACCAATTGCAAGTGCATGATGTAAACAGGCACCACCTGCATTAGACATCCATTAAATGTAGACTAGGTAAAGTACAACTAGATAATGGTGGTTATCAATCTTGAAAATTGCTCGAGATATTGAGCAGACAATGTGTGTCCCCAACTACTGACCCACTCCCCAATAACATCTCCTGTCTTACGACGAGCGTATTTATAGGATCTTACATGAGTTTCTATTTCATAAGAGATTTATGAAACGAGTTTAGGATTTTTTTAATTTAGCGAGCCTCTGGCGAGCTAAAATAAAAAAATTGTGACAAGTTTCATAAATTTCATATGAAACGCAAATGAGTGCCAGATCATTTTTATCACATAATCAAGATTTGTGACATTTATTCTTGTAAAACAACAATTTTCATGCAACCTTGAAATGTAAAAAGCCGCCATTTTGACTACAGTGCGCAATTCTGTGACATGTAGTTGTCCTAGGCGTGACGTCACAATTGAAACAATTGAAACTTACAACCAATCACACGGCTGATAGGGCATATTACATGGGCTAATATGCAAAAAAATATGACATGGGTATGTTCACTGGGTAACACAGTACATCATGTGTTAAAACAAAAAGTGTTTGTAAAACACAAATGCCGTTGCCTATAGTGTTAATTTTGAAAAAATTCTATATATAGTAATGGTGACAATGGCCTTGAACTATCATTCCTGATATTGATAGCATTCAAAGTATTTTGATACAGTGTATTTGTGAAACATTTGATCAGAATTTGTTAGTAGGAGTGCTAGTAATGTCAATTCAATGAATTCATTGGACAAATCCATTTGAGCTAGGTGTTCTTGTATTTGACCTTTGCATAATTATATCAGAAAGTTCAATTTTGATCAAAATCTGTTAAGAAAGGAACTTGGTAAGGGATGATCCTAAATCTGTATGGACATCGGTAACACTATATTCCCCAAACCTCCCTTAAAATGGTAGATGTAGAAATATAAAGTAACAAAATTCATATACATGTACATGTACCAGTATACTGAAAAACATACTATTGATAACAAGAAATTATTATTTATAACCGACAAACTAAAAAATATAGAAATATCTAGGTATATTGGATTCCTGTCAACTGCACAACCCTGCTGTATCAAATTAAAAATATTATAAAACATTCAATTATCTTTACCAAACTTACCTCAAAATTATCCAAATAGAAACATTTGCAAGTAAACTATTAGATATAGCACATTATCTTTTGTTTGCACATTGTACATGTTGAACTGCTGCCTAAGACACAATGACCATGCAGCCAACCATTATGTACACAATGGAAATTACATACCTGGAGCACAGCTCTGGAGAGATGTTAGAGCTGCTTTTATCTCCATTTCTGGGAATCCCATTTCCAACACTTTGGATACTGCCTGGTCATCATGGTCAGTGTCTGTCAAGCCTGTGATAGAAATATAACTGTCAACTGTATTTAACTGCTACCTGGTCATCATGGTCAGTGTCTGTCAAGCCTGTGATAGAATTATAACTGTCAACTGTATTTAACTACTGCCTGGTCATCATGGTCAGTGTCTGTCAAGCCTGTGATAGAAATATAACTGTATAACTATATTTAACTACCACGTATCTATAACTACCACCTATCTATAACTACCACCTGTGTATGACTACCACCTGTCCATAACTACCACCTATCTATAACTACCACCTGTCCATAACTACCACCTGTCAACCTGTCTATAACTACCACCTGTGTATGACTACCACCTATCCATTACTACCACTTGTCCATAACTACAACCTACAGTATCTATAACTACAACCTACAGTATCTATAACTACCACCTGTCTATAACTACCCCCTATCCATAACTACCAACTGTCTATAACTACAAATTACAGTATCTATACCTCCCTCCTGTGTATGGCTACCCCCTGTCCATAACTTCCACCTATCTATAACTCCCACCTGTCTATGACTACCACGTCTATAACTACAAATTTCAGTATCTATAACTACCTCCTGTGTATGACTACCCCCTATCCATTACTACCAACTGTCTATAACTACCTCCTGTCTATATCTACCACCTGTGTATAACTACCACCTGTCTATAACTACCACCTGTCTATGACTACCATGTCTATAACTACAAATTACAGTATCTATAACTACCACCTATGTATAACTACCACCTGTGTATAACTACCACCTGTGTATAACTACCACCTGTCTATGACTACCACCTATCCATAACTACCACCTATCTATAACTACCACCTGTCTATAACTACCACCTGTCTATAACTACCACCTGTGTATGACTACCACCTATCCATAACTACCAACTGTCTATAACTACCACCTATCTATAACTACCGCCTGTCCATAACTACCACCTGTCCATAACTATAAATTACAGTATCTATCACTACCACCTATCCATAACTACCACCTGTCCATTACTGGCACTTGTTTATGAACAACCAACTGTCTACAAATACCACATGTCTACAACTACCACCTGTCTACCTATCAATAACTACCAACTGTCTATAAATACCACCTACAGTATCTATAACTACAACCTATCCATAAGTACCTCCTGTCCATAACTGCCATGTCTAAAACTACCACCTGCCTACAACCTGTACCATCTGTACCTCAAGTCTATAACTACCAAGGTCTATTCCACATCTGTTTGATACCACCTGTCTAGAACTACCAAATATCTATACCACATCTGTATGATGCCACCTGTCTAGAACTACCAAATATCTATACCACATCTATTTGATACCACATATCTAGAACTACCCATATATATACCACATCTATTTGATACCTCCTGTCTAGAACTACCAAATATCTATACCACATCTGTTTGATACCACCTATCTAGAACTACCAAATATCTATACCACATCTATTTGATACCACCTGACTAGAACTACCAAATATCTATACCACATCTATTTGATACCGCCTGTCTAGAACTACCAAATATCTATACCACATCTATTTGATACCACGTATCTAGAACTACCCATATATATACCACATCTATTTGATACCTCCTGTCTAGAACTACTAAATATCTATACCACATCTATTTGATACCACCTGACTAGAACTACCAAATATCTATACCACATCTATTTGATACCACGTATCTAGAACTACCCATATATATACCACATCTATTTGATACCTCCTGTCTAGAACTACTAAATATCTATACCACATCTATTTGATACCACCTGACTAGAACTACCAAATATCTATACCACATCTATTTGATACCACATATCTAGAACTACCCATATATATACCACATCTATTTGATACCTCCTGTCTAGAACTACTAAATATCTATACCACATCTATTTGATACCACCTCTCTAGAACTACCAAATATCTATACCACATCTGTTTGATACCACCTATCTAGAACTACCAAATATCTATACCACATCTATTTGATACCACGTATCTAGAACTACCCATATATATACCACATCTATTTGATACCTCCTGTCTAGAACTACTAAATATCTATACCACATCTATTTGATACCACCTCTCTAGAACTACCAAATATCTATACCACATCTGTATGATATCACCTATCTAAAAATATCAAATATCTATACCACATCTGTATGATACCACCTGTGTAGAACTACCAAATATCTATACCACATCTGTATGATACCACCTGTCTAGAACTACCAAATATCTATTCCACATCTATTTGATACCACCTGTCTAGAACTACTGTTTATGAACAACCAACTGTCTACAAATACCACATGTCTACAACTACCACCTGTCTACCTATCAATAACTACCAACTGTCTATAAATACCACCTACAGTATCTATAACTACAACCTATCCATAAGTACCTCCTGTCCATAACTGCCATGTCTAAAACTACCACCTGCCTACACCCTGTACCATCTGTACCTCAAGTCTATAACTACCAAGCTCTATTCCACATCTGTTTGATACCACCTGTCTAGAACTACCAAATATCTATACCAAATCTGTATGATATCACCTATCTAAAAATACCAAATATCTATACCACATCTGTATGATACCACCTGTCTGTAACAACGACATGTTAATATGTCAATAACTACCACAATAAGTCAGGAATGGGACCTACCTGCGCGACTGTAGCTCTTAAGGAAAGTTTCATTTTCGTTTTGGCAGTCAGGCTCCACGTCCATATGATTTTGTGGAGAGACACTAGCCACTTGTTTTACTTCTGTTTCATCTTCGTCTTCCGAGTCCCTTGATACAGGTGTTTTCACATGCGTATTGTGACCCTGAAATATTTCTTTCTGTTCTGTCTGATTATTTCGCTGGCACTGACTGGAAGCTAATGAATGGCCAAAATCGTTTCTGAACTCGATGTCACTGGAACTGGTTGTTTGCTGATTTTGTAATGGCATTACCGTTGCCATGGCTTGAGGCTTTGCACTTTTCACGGAAAAGACAATCGGCCTTTTTGGCAGATTTACCGTTGGATTGTCACGTTTCGGCTTTGGTGTAGTTTTTTTTACATTAGATGCAGGCACTAAGCCAGTGCCTGAGGCACTGGAAATATTTGGTCCAGGTTGGGTATGTTCAGAATTAGTGTTTGAAACTGAAACTGTTGAAGCACAATTTACAGCAAATGAAGTTGTACTTGAAACGTTTTCCATACTGCGAGTGCTGTTACCTGTATTTTCTCCAACCTTTTTTGATGGAATATTTACAGCAACATTTGCTGATGGAATATTTGGTGCCACATCTGTTGATTGAGCTGTTGCAGCCACAATTGTTGATGGCACACTTGCTGCCACTTTTGTTGATGGCACACATGCTGCCACTTTTGTTGATGGCACACTTGCTGCCACTTTTGTTGACGGAAAACTTGCAGGGGCCTTTTCAGCTGTCCCGGGGTTGTAATAAGTTTTACTAGCCCCTGTACTTGTTTGCCTGTTGGAGCTCACTGACATCTCTGTCTTTTCCCGAGTGTCCATCAGATTTCCTTCAATGTTAAATTCCTCATTCGGAGAACCAGGCATTTTCGTGGTTGTATTATGAATCTCCGACGGCATTGACGATGGATGACCATCTATGGATTGTCGACTAGCACCCTCCATAGATGGTCGATTAGGACCTTCCATAGATGGTCGACTAGCACCCTCCATAGACTTTGGACTAGACATGGATGGACTCTCACCTCGATCACTGAAACAGCAAGTTTTTATTTAAATTGAATTTCTACAATTAAGGTTTGGGTTTTTTATGATTTAGATATTTGTGACTCTGACAAGAGGCCCATGGGCAGTCACCTGAACCAAACTGAATATTACGTACTACTGAGTAAAAAAACTTCCTACAAATAACTGCTGAGTGGAGCAACAGGGAAACAAAGGTAACTACAATATGTCACCTGAATAACTCAGGTGACGAAAAAGATTATAAATTCATTTATATGAGAATTTCGTTTATGATCACAAATATCTTATATTAATGTTAAAGTTAATAGAGGCCCAATTTAAAATCACATTATCTGAAAATAAACAAACTAATGTCATATATTTTCATATACGTAATTGGAAGATTTAAACAAGTTTAGAATTCAGATGAACTGCCTACAACACAGTATCAGGAGGAAAGAAACGATTAGCCCTGGAGACCAAATCACTTTTAATAAGCACATTTAAAATTCATTTTCAACAGCGATTTTATTTTGAAATATGGTAAAACAGATGGTGAATGTTCAAAATAAGCACTAGAAAGGAAATTATACATTATGCATATTTATCAGATAAAAAAGTCAGGGTAAAGAAAAAAATCTGTTTTTGTTAAAACCATAGTGATGTACCTGGGTACATGTATTGGCCACATGCATGACTATGGAAAAGGGAATCAGAATTTTGAAAAAAAGACCTTAATCAGAAAGGAAGAAATATTGACCTTGGGGCATTTATTGTGTTAACAGTTGGCCACTGGTTTCTTGTTTGTCCATTACAGAAACTTCAGCAACATCAAATGAATATATTTGTATCTTTCCATTTTACAACCTCAAAATGTTTACCCCTGGAAGCCAAAGTGGCGAATTCAGTAAATTCTAAAGATAAAACTAAACTAGAGTCCACAGTTACAGGTTGACATGATCACTTGTTTACCTTCTGAGAAAGTATCACAATAATATCATAAACCTGTATATGTAGGAAGCTCTTTGACAATCGCAAATTTCTCAGACAAATATTCATGTCAACCTACAATTGGGGCAACACTGGTATATAAATACAAATGGCATGCGGTTTTATTGTCAGGATTTATTTTCTTGATTTACATAATCACAAATTAATGAAATCAGCATTTTTTTTCAAACATGAAAATGTTCATGATAAAAGTACAAGTTGATTGAGCTTACCAGTTAGGTTTCTTCCTTGAGTTAGCACCCGCCCCTGGACCGTTGTCAGAAGGAGCAGGATTGAGTGGAGTACCACCCTCAACAACAGTGTTGTGGTCTCCAATCACTACATTTTCTGCCCCATAAATGTTGACAACACTCTTCTTTGACTTTTCAGATTTCTTATCTGGATAGATGTGTGTATGCGTGTGGATGTGATGTACCACCACCTTCCCATCTTTGTCTAGGTCAGGTTTTCCTCCTGTTGCCTCATCAAACATTTCACTTTCTGACAAATACGTCTTTGCCACTGCCTCCTTCCCATGCATGCCTAATTGCATTCTAGGAATCTGTTGAGAAAAGGCCATGTCTGCTTGTAAACTAGAATCGTTACTACCTTGACTAATGTCTGTTGTCACTGACTTTTGTTCATCCATGCTGTACGACATGAATGAGTCAGATTGGTCACCTTCCGGACCCCAAGATCTGCTTCCAGATGGGTATCCGGACGCAGAACTCTCAGACTGAAAATTTGACAATGATCTATTTAAATCTGTTTTTGGAGGAAATTGTCCTGCAGTAAAGACACCAGAATCAACATCACTTTGCATTTGTTTATCCAAGTTCTCCAACAACTCCGATGATTCTTGGTCATATGACATTTGATGTAAGCGAGATCCTTCTATCCTGCTTGAGCTTGAAGGAGGATATGACTTCGGATGTTCAGCTTCCTCAAGCTTCTTTTGTCTTCGTTGTGTCTCCATTTTTACTTTCTCTTCCCATTCAAGTGCATGTTTGTATTGCTCAATAAACAGCTTTTCCTCATTATCCTCCCTCTTGTGGATCTTGCCACCAATCAAACTCTGTAATCCTCGACGGTAAAAGTCATCGTTATTGTAAAAGTTAACCCCTTTCAGTGAGTTTAGACCCATAGGAATGCGGAAATCTGCTTTTGTACGTTGCACTGTATACACTGGCACAACACACCAACGTTTGTCCTTGTTGTAAATTGCTTCCATTAGACATTCTTCACTTGCTATCTGGGACCACTCGCACTTACAGAACTGTTTAGTCAGGTACACAAATGCAAAAGTGCAACGCTCAAAAGCTACTTCCAAACTTCCAAACATTCTGCGTTTGGCATTGGCAAAATCCATGGCATCATATAAAATTGCCTTCACACGCTTTCCATTTTCAAGACTTAAATCTTTGAGACTTTGACATAATGATTCAGCTTCAGCTCTGTCATCTTCACTATACAGAACCATGACATCATAGTAAGCTGCTTTAAATTCATCAGGTAAACGCTCAAAGTGTTTCTTGACTATTTGCAACCTTTGCCGGAATACTTTTATTTCAGAACTGGAATAACGATGGTGAAAAGAGTAGTTTTCCATAAACTTTTCAAACAAGTCATTGATCTGGGATCCTGGTGGTGGAATATGTGGTGAATAGTCCTGGCTTCTTCCTGATGGAATCTGTTCACTACCACCAGAACTTCCTTCACTTGTCTCATGTACTTGCCCAGTTCCTCTTAAAACTGAAATAATAATACAAACTATTTTAACATGATCAGCTGAAGCGTTCTTTCAATTACAGCCCTAAAACATGTTATACAAGTTGTTCTCATACATTTGTAACTGTAAGTGTGATTGTGTTAGGGCTACAATGTAACCAATATAACAAGAGGTCCATTGGACTTGTATCGCTCACCTGGTTTTGTATTTAAGTCAATACAACTGAATGCATTAGTACATCTTTGTATGAAATTTCCTCAAAACCAGACAAGATCTATGTTAACGTTCTAACCCAACTGGGACCACAATATTTGACTTTCAACTAATCAGAGGCCTCCATTTAGTTGCCATGTTAACAGATTTTGAAATAAGTAATATGTCATATTACAGGGTATAATTAGACAATAATTTTCATTCAACTATAAGCTTTTATAAACCTAGAAACCAATTTTTAACAATTTATGAAAACTACACCATAGAATATGATAATCTAGCTGTACCATTTCTCAGTACCGCAGGGGTCAAATCAACCTCATTCAATTAAGAAATGTTTGTTCTTCCTCAATAATGTTTTTGACAAAATTTTATACAATCCACTCAGGCAATTAGGGGATATCAGCGTCTTAAAGCAAAGTATTAGATAATTTTCCTCTTTGTGGCCCGGTCTTCCTAGCCCCAGGGGTCGAACCAGTCTCATTTGTTTAGGAAATGATTGCCCTCCCCCAATGAAGTTTCAGAGCAAATTTGGTTGAAATCTTCTCTGGCATTAAGGATGGCGTTTTAAAGCAAATTTAGCTAAGTTCCCCTTCAGCGCCCCGCCCCCCCCTGGCCTCAGGGGTCAAACCAACCTCATTTATTTAAGAAATGATTGCCCTCCCCTAGTGATGCTTCAGACTAAATTTGGTTGAAATCCTCTCTGGCGTTTAGGAGAAGATAGGTTTTAAAGAAAAAGCTGACGACGGACGCTGCACCACAGCAGGTGTGCTAATAGACCAAAAGAGAACCAGGTGTGCTAATAAACCAGTCACCTGAGAAGTTAAGAAACTCTACAAACTTTATTCACTTTACACCAATTAATCATATTTTTGGCACAGATGTTAGCATGCAGGGTCTGTCTTAATGTGGGAGGGGAAAGAAGAACACAGGGAAAACCCACATGGTTGAGCAGGTGACCCAATATCTTATCATGTTCATGACCGTCTTTGTGAAAGAAGAGTGCCCTATCCACTGCACCACTCAAACATCTCCATATCTCCTTACACTAAATTTAAGAATTGTTATACTTAAAGGTGTATTTCTCTAATATGAATGTGCCATATGATGATTCTTTTGAATTTTTAGATAAGCAACAGAATACATATGCTAGTATATGAAAGTCTGAATGCAGCTAATTGCTCATTATTAATTTTTGCCAATCTAATATCAGATCACTTTTCATTTCCTCTCAAGTACTCTTTTCACATCACTCATTCTTAAATTCAAGATTCATTGCACAAAACAATGGTGACTATCAAGTCTAGGAGGTGTGACTAATAGTCACTGACTATTGAAACCAGAAGTATATTGAGGCCAGAAAGTGTGACTATAGAGGCCAGAAAGTGTGTCTATTGAACCCAGAAGTCTAATGAGGTCAGAAAGTGCGACTATTGAAGCCAGAAAGTGTGACCATTGAATCCGGAAGTCTATTCAGAGGTCAGAAGGTTTGACTATTGAAGCCAGATGTCTATTGAGGCCAGAAAGTTTGACTATTGAAGCCAGAAGTCTGTTGAGGCCAGAAAGTGTGACTATTGAAGCCAGATGTCTTTTGTGACCAGAAAGTGTGACTATTGAATCCGGAAGTCTATTGAGGCCAGAAGGTGTGACTATTGAAGCCAGATGTCTATTGAGGCCAGAAAGTTTGACTATTGAAGCCAGAAGTCTGTTGAGGCCAGAAAGTGTGACTATTGAAGCCAGATGTCTTTTGTGACCAGAAAGTGTGACTATTGAATCCGGAAGTCTATTGAGGCCAGAAAGTGTGACTATTGAAGCCAGAAGTCTATTGAGGCCAGAAGGTGTGACTATTGAGACCAGAAAGTGTGGCTATTGAGCCAGCAGTCTATTGAGGCCAGAAAGTGTGACTATTGAAACCAGAAATTGTGACAATTGAAGCCAGAAAATGTGTCTATTGAGGCCAGAAAGTGTGACAATTGAAGCCAAAAAATGTGACTTCTGAGTTAGGAGGTGATGCTATTTAGACCAGAAGGTGTGACGTCTGAGTGGGAAGGTGTGACTATTGAGGCCAGAAAGTGTAACTATTGAGGCCAGAAGTCTATTGAGGCTAGAAAGTGTGACTATTGAAGCCAGAAAATGTGTCTATTGAGGCCAGAATGTGTAACTATTGAGGCCAGAATATGTAACTATTGAGGCCAGAATATGTAACTATTGAGGCCAGAATATGTAACTATTGAGGCCAGAATATGTAACTATTGAGGCCAGAATATGTAACTATTGAGGCCAGAATATGTAACTATTGAGGCCAGAATATGTAACTATTGAGGCCAGAATATGTAACTATTGAGGCCAGAATATGTAACTATTGAGGCCAGAATATGTAACTATTGAGGCCAGAATATGTAACTATTGAGGCCAGAATATGTAACTATTGAGGCCAGAATATGTAACTATTGAGGCCAGAATATGTAACTATTGAGGCCAGAATATGTAACTATTGAGGCCAGAATATGTAACTATTGAGGCCAGAATATGTAACTATTGAAGCCAGAATATGTAACTATTGAGGCCAGAATATGTTACTATTGAGGCCAGAAGGTGTAACTATTGAGGCCAGAATGTGTAACTATTGAGGCCAGAATATGAAACTATTGAGGCCAGAATATGTCACTAATGAAGCCAGAATATGTAACTATTGAGGCCAGAATATGTAACTATTGAGGCCAGAATATGTAAATATTGAGGCCAGAAGGTGTGACTATTGAGGCCAGAAGGTGTTACTATTGAGGCCAGAATATGTAACTATTGAGGCCAGAATATGTTACTATTGAGGCCAGAAGGTGTAACTATTGAGGCCAGAATATATAACTATTGAGGCCAGAATATGTAACTTTTGAAGCCAGAATATGTAACTATTGAGGCCAGAATATGTAACTATTGAGGCCAGAATATGTAACTTTTGAAGCCAGAATATGTAACTATTGATGCCAGAATATGTAACTATTGAGGCCATAATATGTAACTATTGAGGCCAGAATGTGTAACTATTGAAGCCAGAATATGTCACTATTGAGGCCAGAATATGTAACTATTTAGGCCAGAATATGTAACTATTGAGGCAATACTATGTAACTATTGAGGCCAGAATATGTAACTATTGAGGCCAGAATGTGTAACTATTGAAGCCAGAATATGTAACTATTGAAGCCAGAATATGTAACTATTGAGGCCAGAATATGTAACTATTGAGGCCAGAATATGTAACTATTGAGGCCAGAATATGTAACAATTGAGGCCAGAATATGTAAAGAATATGTAACTATTGAGGCCAGAATATGTAACTATTGAGGCCAGAAGGTGTTACTATTGAGGCCAGAAGGTGTTACTATTGAGGCCAGAAGGTGTGACTATTGAGGCCAGAAGATGTTACTATTGAGGCCAGAAGGTGTGACTATTGAGGCCAGAAGTCTATTGAGACCAGAAAGTGTGACAATTGAAGCCAGAAAATGTGACAATTGAAGCCAGAAAATGTGTAATTATTGAGGCCAGAGGGTGTGACTATTGAGGCCAGAATATGGAACTATTGAGGCCAGAATATGTAACTATTGAGGCCAAAAGGTGTGACTATTGAGGCCAGAAGGTGTGACTATTGAGGCCAGAAGGTTTGACTATTGAGGCCAGAAGGTGTGACTATTGAGGCCAGAGGGTGTGACTATTGAGGCCAAAAGGTTTGACTATTGAGGCCAGAATATGTGACTATTGAGGCCAGAAAGTGTGACTATTGAGGCCAGAAGGTATGACTATTGAGGCCAGAAGGTTTGACTATTGAGGCCAGAAGGTGTGACTATTGAGGCTAGAGGGTGTGACTATTGAGGCCAAAAGGTGTGACTATTGAGGCCAGAAGGTGTGACTATTGAGGCCAGAAAGTGTGACTATTGAGGCCAGAAGGTGTGACTATTGAGGCCCGAAGGTGTGACTATTGAGGCCAGAAGGTTTGACTTCTGAGTTGGGAGGTGATGCTATTGAGGCCAGAAGGTGTGAATTCTGAGTGGAGAGGTGCAACTATTGAGGCCAGAAAGTTGGGATGTGTGACTATTGAAGCCTGGATGTGTGAATAGAGCTTGGAGGTGTGACTTGCGTTTGAGAGTTGTGACTATTGAAGCTTGAAGGTGTGATAATTGAGTCTTGGAGGTGTGACTTTTGAGCAAGTGGGAACTGAACTGAAATCAAATCTTTCAATGACAACTGATGCAACTGAATTGAGAGATATTCAAGATTAATTATTGCAATATACTGATGATTTGTTGTTAAATTACATGCCTTCTCAAACTCATCATATTACAGAGCCATCTTTCACATATCAGTGGAATTCTTGATCATGAGGTCTGGCATCAAAATTCTAAAGAAATATGTGTCTCATCTAAGGTTTAAGTTGTTACAATAATGACTCGATTAGCTTAGCTGTTATAAGTTAATATGTTGATAATTTTTTTAAATATGCATATGTACCAGATTCTCCTTTAGTGGAGGGACAGGGTGAGGAGTTTCCACCGGTTTCAGTCCTCCAGTCGGGACTGTTCATAAATGGAGGAGGTCCTGAAAAATGAAGGTTAACCCGACTGTTCAGATAATACTGCATTTCTTTGTTCTAGGTATTTATGGGGAATTTATTGCTGACATACATTTTTTGGGATTTTTTTTCAAAAAAAAGGCTCATGGGCCTTAACGGTCACCAGAGTCTTACCGTATTTATTTTTGATGTTGAAATATAAAGTGGAGATAATGATGTGAATCATCCCTACCAATTTGAGTAAAAAAAGGTGAAGCATAATGTTAAGTTAAGTTTGTCAGAACCATGAGTTGATCATTCCTAACCTGAGTTTCAGATAAATCGGCCTATTAGAACTGGACTTTAGGTTTGAAATAGTTTTTAAAAATAGCGGCCTTGGTGGCCATATTGGATTTCTGAATTACCGGAAAAATAGCAACACTTTGTCAGGACCATGAGTCTATCATTCCTACCAAGTTCAGTTAAATTAGCCCATTAGATCTTGAATTTTAGTTTGAGATAGTTTATCCAGCCATATTGGATTTCTTAATGACCCGAAAAATAACAACACTTGGTCGGGGAGATATCAGTAACATTCCCATGAAATATCAATGAAATCCCTTCGACAGTATTCCTGCTTAAGTTGAAAATGTAAAATGTTAATGCATGACGCACGACAAAGGATGAAGACGGATAGCAATAGGTCACTTGAGATAAAGTTCAGGTGACTTTAAAAGAGAGTAAATCATTCTGATTTCACTACTTTTTCTTTATACAAATGCATCCCTGCTTTTTCAAAACACATACAGATCGACAAAATGCATTGTTTATTTTTTTTCCTTTGAAATGACAATAGAATTTAACAGTAATGATGTTATCCTTAATAATAGATCCATTACTCAGCGACATATTCTTGTACAAGTATAGCTTTGAACATTATAATATACTGACCACAGAAACTGTTTCTCAGAAGAAAAATAATTAATAAACTTTATTTAGAAGTGCATGTAATATTATTAAATGGACATATTTCATCTTAAAGCCACTTTAATACATGTAGTTTCCATCACAGGTTCTAAATGTTCTAATTAAGTACACTAAGTTCAAAGTCTTACTTCCACAGGCATCAGGCATGGCATCATCTTCAACTTGTGATGTAAGACGGTCCACTCTTCCAACAGTAGATGAGGGCCCACTCATTTTGATGGCTTGATTTTAAGTTTTATTCCATATAATTCAGATGTATTTCTAGGACTAAAAATAGAGAAAAATAAAATATGTCAAAACCAAAGGTCACAAACCAACTGTAAATTAGGTTGTAATGGTGAAAACACATTAGCATGTTTAGTAACATGACTGCAATAAAGGTAAGAGGTCAAGGTGAAAGGTGAAGGCTATAAAAATGCTGTAAAATATGCTATTCTCATCAAGGCACATATACATGCATGCAAAGTTACATGAGCTTAGCTGCATTACTTAGTCTACAACTGACTAAAAAAAAAAAAAAAGCAAGAGGCCCATGGGCCTAAACGGTCATCTGACTACAAAGACTGAGCAGGGAGAATGGTTACTTTTCAACTTTCAATGAAATATTATCAATCCCACTGGTGGGAAGTTGAGAAGAAGTTTAAAATGTGTTTTTCAAGATGGCAGTCATGGTGGCCATCTTGGATTTTGCACCGACCCGAAAAATAACAACACTTGGTCAGGACCATCTCAGGATCATTCCACTGGTGGAACTTGAGAAGAAGTTTAAAATAGGTGTTGTTTAGGAAAACCATGATTGTGCAATCATGTTACAAAATTGCCACCATGGCTGCCATATTGAGTTTTGACGAGGCTGAAAAATAACAACACTTCATCGGCTTCCTTTCCTTAACATCCCCACCAATGTTTAGCTCAATGGCACCAGTGGAACTGGAGAAAAGTTTAAAATGTGTTTATTAAGATGGCTGCNAGGATCATTTCAGGCAAGTTTCAGCTCAATACCACTGGTGAAACTTGAGAAGAAGTTTAAAATAGGTGTTGTTTAGGAAAACCATGATTGCGCAATCATGTTACAAAACGGCCACAATGGCTGCCATATTGAAGTTTTGACAGGACTAAGATGACAAAACTTTGTCGACTTCCTTTCCTAAACATCTTCACCAATTTTTAGCTCAATGGCACCAGTGGAACTGGAGAAATTTAAAATGTGTTTTTCAAGATGGTGGCCATAACGACCATCTTGGATTTTGGACCGACCCGAAAAATAACAACACTTGGTCAGGACTATCTCAGGCAAGTTTCAGCTCAATCCCACCGGTGGAACTTGAGAAGAAGTTTAAAATGTTGAAAGTTTACGGACAGCGCACGGCAGACGATGACGGACGAAGCACGATGACTATAGGTCATCCTAACCCTTTGGGTCAGATGACCTAAAAACTATATATGTATACACTTATATGGTAGAATATATATATATACACTTATATGGTATACGCTTATTCCCCAGCCCCACTTAGTGGCATATGTTGTTGTCATAATCAAAATGTGTAAATATATTGTGACACAGAGAAATTTCATTTCTGTGTTGTGATACAATGCGATACGCATCTGTATTGTGATATATCAGTTTTCCAATACATGTATCTTGTAACAGCCCTTAAAAGTCATACTGAGCCATATATTAGTCTAAATGTCCTTTTAATACAATATGGTTATACAGGGCCACATCTTAGTCTAACAGCTCTTTAACAGAAGTGTTATAAGTTTTTCAAAAAAAAAACACTAAAAACTCTCCATCCTCCTTGTAGATTTCTATGTTCTGCACGAAAGGTAGGGAAAGATCCTACGTTAGTCACATCACAGGTTCACATGTGTGCATTTAATCTTAATATGGGAAATATTGGAAACTGATCAGTCTGTGGTTGAAATATAAGTCACATTACTAAGCAAAATAGTGACATGATTTCGTAATGTGGGCAAGTCCATATAAGTCCATGAGTCAAGTATTTGTGTCCCCAATATCACTATTGATTTCAAGTTAATTATCAATAAGGAATAATGGAAGAATTTGCATATTTAACAGCAACATTATTAGGTATATATATTTACATACAGTGTTTAATATAATTACAGTTAAAAACACTACATAATAAATGTAATACAATACTTGAGTCAGTTAATATTGAATAGTATACAAGACTAAAAATAAAACTTGGAAGTGTTTCAGCAAACTTGGCCCTACCCATGTTTTTGTGACAACCCAGTAGTCTTCAATGGGATTTAGATTTTGAGGGGAGGACTTAAAAGTATCATCAGATTCCCATCTCTAAATAACCTTTAATAGTAAAAAATAAAACGAAAAAGTATTTTGGGATTACTCTTCATATTTTTGGTCTTAAAATTTTAGTTCTTTCTGTCACTTCAATCCTCTACTTAGGTTATCTGCAATGTATTATCCAAATTTATGGCTATGAATATTATGTACAGAAAACAAGTATTAAACAGAGCAAATGTAATGCAAAAATAAATTATTAAATGTTTCATTTGAAATTGGAGGTATTTCAATATATATTTATTTAATTATAATTAGGGTAAAGTGACAGTGAGTCGGACACGATATAAAGTCGGACACTTTCTGTGTTGTTTTACGTGTTTTTCTTTCCTCACAATCCGGTCTTTCCCTGTAGCTATGCTTCGACAAGCTTCTTGTGAACATAGAGTTATCTTTCTTTGGTTACTAATGCCCTTCCTGTCTTTTTCAACACGGTACCAGAGAAGTCCAATCAGCGGGAATTTTGAGCTAACCCAAGTAAGAAGTGTTCAGTTTCAATCGTAATGATACGGCTGTAATTTGTTAAGGCTCTTGCATGAAGAGAAAAGAACATACTGAAAATAAATAAATATGTTAGAATAACGTTATTTTCTAGACATTTTAAAGCATATTCTAACTGGTGTTTTGTTTTTCAAGTTTAAACAAAAGTACCCAATTTGATATTGAGTCGGACACTAAAATGTGTTAAATTGATATTAAGTCGACCCCTGACCGACTCAACATCATGTTTCATTTATATTGTCTAATTGACTTCAGCTAGATCGTTTGTTGTAGCTAGACTGGTGTTTGAAAAAAAAAGTATAATGAAAATTAGTTTTCTGAAAATTGAATATTTCAGCGTGATGAAAAACATTATACTGAGAAATATTTATGCTGTTGGCATGCATCACTGGGGATCTCTAGGTGCCTATAGGTATCGTCCACTACTGTCAATTGGAGAAAGAACACCAAGGATGCATGCGCACTCGCAATATACGCTGATAAAGAGCTCACAAAAAGAGTTGCCTATATCAGTTCTTCACAAATTATTTCGTGAGGACCTTATAACGGGACTTTGTTACTTGAAAGCAAAGCAACCCATTTCAAAGTTTTCAAAAAAGAAAGGCCCAATGCAAAATGTTTCAATTGGGTTTAACTGTAACGATGACAATGTAGTGTACATTGAAAGAATCACAACGAATTACGAAAGACAGATATATTAACCAGACTTGTTACGACTCACGGTCTACTGGAAGTTTGATTATTAAAAAATAAAATAAAAATGTGTGCATTGCGTTATTTTATTTTTTTACAGACGACGTAAAAAACGGAATGGGTATAAGAAAGGCTGCTAAGAAATTTTCTGTACCTAGATCAACACTATCGGATCGCATATCTGGTAGGATCCAGGATGGAGCCCATTAGAGGGAAAAAAGGCCTTGTTTAGTATTGAGGACGAGAAGGAAATGATAAAGTGTGCAGTACAAAGGGCAGATATGGGGATAGGCTTTAGCAAGTCAAACTTCTTAAGGTTTGCAGGTTCTATGGCAAACACCCGGAATATTTCACTTAGACGGGCAAAACCATCCGACATGTGGTGGAGATGGGTTAAACGGAGGCACGAAGGATTTTCGCTCAGAACTCCTTAGGCAAGCGCAACTGTTCGCCATGACGCGATGTCACGCAACCGCATGCGTTTATTTTTTTTCGAATTGGGGAAATTGTGCAGATGTCAAATTTCAAAACAATCCAGGTAGAATCTGGAACAGGGATGAAACGGGGGTAAGTTTGTCTCACAAACCAAGTAAAGTGATTGCAAAGAAGGGTGCGAAGGCCATACACGGCAAAGCATCTACTTCTCGTGAACTGGTAACGGTAATTGCATGCGGCAATATCTATGGTGGATACATTCCTCCACATTTTGTTATTCCGGGGAAAACAGTAAGGAAACTGGAGGGATACGACATACAATCCGTCAGATGTGTCTGATTCAGGATGGACCAAAGATGGAATTGCCAAACTTTGGTTCACAGAAACGTTTTTGAAGAATATCGGTCCGGCCAGACCTCAGCTACTTATATGCCACGGACACAAGTCACACAACAATGTTGTATTTGTTGAACTTTCAAAGCAGAATGACTTTGTTAAAAGCACAGGGGTTGCAGTTGGCCACAAACAGTTCCTACGGCTATTCAATATAGCATGGCAAGCTGCAATGACACCGAAAACTATACGGAACGGGTTTGTAGCTACGGGGATCTATCCATTCAATCCTGACGCTATACCTGATGAGGCGTATGGACCACACGAAGGTTGTGTTCAGACACAGTCTGAAGAATCATGCGACAACGTAACCAAGTCAGTTTCATCTAGTATTTCAACACAACCTGAATGAAACATCTACGCGTGTAGCCACAGACAATGTGTCATCGGTGACATTGTCTGTTCCTCTTGATCTGGAACGTCACTTTAACCTGCCATGAGTGATTGATCCGTTCGGTGATTTGCTCCTTGATTCTAGCTTTTCAGAGTCTTGTCAGAAAGAAACCGCGGAGTGTACACCAAACCAGGCTCTGGAAGTAGTGGAAAGTACATTAACATCTGACCAGAAACTAAAATATCGTAAAAACCCATGTAATTTGCGCACCTGTGTAATTTGCGCAGGTACATTTGGGGCTGAAAATCGGGAAAAAGCTTCTACTCGAATATTTTGCGCACCCAAAAAATCTGGAAAAAAAACGTTGTTCATGCTCCGAAAATCGATCTCTGAATATTTTTTTTTAAAATATATTTCTATGAATTTTTTTTCATTGATGTAAAATTGTATTTAAAACCAAGAAGAAACTACGTAAAATGTGTATTTTGTTGCTTGTTTTCTTTGAATTATCTGATCACACTTGACACACACGTGTGCGCATATCGGCATACATCAATTCATTTTAGCAATATTTTACATAAAACATTTACTTGCTTACAAAAACATATCAATTAATAAGTAATTCGATGTTTAGTAACCGCTGGTGCATATCTCCTGGTGAAAGACATAATTAGATAGCTTTTATTGATCATAATTACAATCAGTGAGAAGGGCTCATCATGGTGGCTTGGGTTATGTCACTTCAAACCAGGCCATGTCACAGTTCAGTTTGGCCACGGAATTAGATTACCTAAGTCCGTGGTTTGGCGATATTTTTTGGCCACACATTTTTTAAAATTGGTCATATGTGGTCATGACTGCTGGTTTTGCGACATTTACAGGTAAGTTAACCGGAGGCAATAATTTCACCGATATGGTCTGGTCCCGGGCAATAGGCCAGGTAGGATCGCATGCTTCAGCGTAAATTATTGTCACTTCTCAACACTACAGTCAATAAAAATTACAATTCAGTAATTAGCTAACACTATTACTGTGATTACTCATTAACAATAGCTCTACTAATTGAAATAATTTGCAGTCGCGATCGACGGACCGTGTTTTTTTTTTTTCACTCACCAACACGTGGCGTGAATTACGAAGACCTACTGCATTGTCATAACTACAGACTGATTTGACTGAAAAGGGATTATAAAAAATATGTTTATACTAGAAGCGTGGACAATCAATACATCCTCTTCAAATCTAGTCCAAGGAAAATAGTTTAAGCAGACTATTTTTACGATGCTTCATTTAATAAATATGGAAATAATTCACGAGGTTATTATCAATCACGTGTTTACGTAATGTTAGACGCGAGATTAACATAAAAGTGAGCCGGAAAAAAACCATGCTATACGCATAGGCGATTTGAAAAAAAACTAACAGAACTTACATGGAACGGAGCTTAAATTGAACAACTTCATTTTCGTAATAGTATGGGGAAACACACCGAGATGTCGAAACTTAATGTCGTAAGTTGATCGGCGATTTTCTGGCATAGGAATTTGGCTAAACTATCTTTGTAACGGTTACCTATTTAATAATACTTTTCACATAAACTCAGATAACAACACATTATGTATCAACTGTATCTTTTATTAATGTTTGACATAAACAAATTTGTTGATTGTCATTTGTCTTAAGAGTTCCGTGTACCAAGGGAGATAATCCAAGATGGCGATCTCCCAGAATCTTTTCCTGAAAAAACTTGAAATTTTCTATACCTGTGTATTTTACCCACCCCCCACTTTGGGTATTAAATTTCTGAAAAAAAAAGTGTGCAAATTACATGGGTTTTTACAGTATCACACTGCGCTGGTATCGAATTCCAAACTACAAAACGATCCTCTATTTCAAACATGGAAGCATTACTATAACAAAGTATATAACTCTGCTGCATCAATTTCTGTATCTTGTATGCCCATCTCTACCTCGCCGCCGCCACTTCCAGCTATGATGCCCATCTCTTCATCACCCCCCAATGCTTCCATCTATGATGCCCATCTCTTCCTCACCCCCGATGCTTCAATCAATGATACCCATCTCTTCCTTGCCGCCACCACTTCCAGCCTCGTTGCCCATCTCCTCATTGCCATCCACGCTGTCCAAATCATTGTCTGTTTCTCCGAAACTTCCTATACCGCCAGTACAACAAGCTCTGTCGTCATCAGCCTCTTCAGTCGCCAATGAACTGTTTCCGTTACCCAAATTACCAAAGAAAAGACCAGCACAGGAATATTTTGTAAATACACCAGATGAGATATTTGACCAACGGAAGAAAGCGTATGAATTAAAAATTATACAAGAACAAATTAAGATTGAAAAACATTTAGAACGTGAAAAGAAAAGAGCAGCAAAAGCACTTGCCGTTACTAATAAGGGAAGTGGACGTGGGAAAGGTCCGGCAAAATCAGAACTAGTTGACCTGATATGAACTCACAACAGAGAATATATACATAATGGTTTCCGTTAATTTGTAATTGAAACTTTTACTTTGTTTAATGTGTATAAATATAGATCTGTGTTGTGTAAAATGTGTTCATTGGTCAGAAATTATTATTTTGCAGCTTTATTACCAATAATGTACCCACTGCAATAAAGCGTGCTTTGTTTTACGCCTATTTCACCTTAGTGATAATGTATATAATAATACACCATGTCATGTGGTGTCAGTTTCTACTCCGACAGTCCCTATCCTCTCCCAGGTTCGTTGTAATTTTCTATCTTGGCGAGTATAATATCGGATCTAGTAAAATTGAAAACTACACGAATTATATAAAGATGGCCAACATTAATAGACTATTCATTTACATAAAATTAAATTATAATGTTAGTAAGATGAAGACAACTCTGAAACAGTAACGTACGTAAATCATACCTTGAAATAATAGATGATGGTTCCAATAACACAAGCTAACTACGGTGAAATAAGATTTTGTAATACATGACAATTTCTGCTTAAGTTCCTACGAAAATGAAGTCAAGGTGCCCTTACAACACAAGAAAGTTAAGTAAAACAATGAAAAGCATTTGAAAGAGAAAAACGTAGACTATGGTAGGTTGTATAGAACGAAAGCAATTTGAGTTTTAACAGAGGAGGTGTCCGACTCACTGTCACTTTACCCTATCATCATTTATTTCATTTAAATTTACTGGAATCAGCACAGGCAACATTTGTATTTGCTAACAAATTGTATGTTTATATTCCAATACAAACATAGACTTACTTTTTTCATGTTATTCCATATAGCTGGTAGATGTAAACTATGGGCAATATTGTTGATTATACGGTGTTAAAAAAGAATACTTAAAAGTGACTTTGATAGACAATTTTCCGGTCGAATAATTCCTTAGGACATTTAAAAATAATTTGTTTTGTGGTATATAGGCAGATGCACAGCCTTATCATGTCTTACTTTCGTTTTCAAGATATTGATTTTCATATTATTCGCACTGTTCTTCCAGTCGTTGTAAGTCTTCGACTTGTGAGACTGTCCTATATCTTGTTGTCATCGATACTTTATGGTATGCGCATATTTGTTGGTGACAAGTTTTAAGAGTTAAAAGTTCGTTCACACTAACGATTTTTAGTGTGTTGATTATATTTTTGTACAGTTAAAATTCCTGATATATATACAGACGTGTTTGGTAGCGAAACAATTTCACTAACCCGCTGTCAGCAACATTAACTACTGATAAGCATGTGACCTTAATGTTCATTTTTCCAAGGTTAAGGCTGTTGAAGATAGGAAATAATGTTACTACCCTTCCATTGTCCGTTTCTTTCCACTATGTACACTAGGGTAAGCGACACAATCTGGAATTCAAGAAGTCTCCACGCTCTATTTGAATTTGAATGCGGTTCGATCATACTCGTCTCTTACTTCTCTATGGGTATTTAAGCCACTACAATTATTGATTTGTGGAATATTCATAACTTCATTATGCTGGTTATCATAAGTTTCATTAATACCCCCAATAACTATTATTGTTGCATTTTTTAAAATTAGCGATACAGTATCACTAAATTATAACGTTTGCTTACCTGTGAGTTATTTGTTTTTCTGGATTCCCACACTTTTGTTTTGTCATTTGTGTATTGAAAAGTTCCAGTACTCGAACACAGTCCCACGCAAATATTTAGACACCCGTAATGTTTTTGTTTTATCTCGACAGTAGGTAACATTCTTTTCTAACAGATATGTCCTATGTGATTCAACTTCATTGTTATATCTCATCAATTTCGTCTTTAGCATTTAATCCCCAAGTTAACTTGTTTTTGTGTAGAAAAGTACCCCCTATACCCGAACCTTATGAATGTAAAGTTGACGAAAAGTTGGTCACGACCCGATGGCAGAACAACTGTCAATCGAGAAGATTCCTTAGGATAACACGATTTACAAAAATCAAAACCTTAGAAGAAATGTGAAGATAAGGAATCAAAATAGCAACTTACGGATAAAAACACCAAAATATAGCAATGGCAATCAGGAAATCACGTCATGATAACAGAGATGATCAAATCGGAGAACAACCATCTTCTTTCCCTCATACTTAATGATTGGGGATTTTCCGGGTTAATCGTAGTCTCGTTCAACCAGACGCTTCTCTGTTCGGCGTAGCTAGCTCAGGCAAGAAGGGTCTGGTTGAACGAGACTAGGTCAATCGGAAGTTTTCTGGTTTTGGGTTGTCACGTGTTCCGAATGTTTGTGGTTTTGGTCATAGACCTAAATTTACTTTAGGTCTCTGTTTTGGTGATTTTTTAAATCCTACAATGTTTAGCTCAACTGGCCCGAAGGGGCCAAGTGAGCTTATGGCATGGTGCGGCGTCCGTCGTCCGTCCGGCGTCAACTTTTCACTTAAATCAACTTCTTCTGAATAACCAAGCGGCCCAGGTTGCTGATATTTGGCCAGTAGCATGCTGGGATGAATGACATTGACCTACTTTCAAGGTCACAGGGGTCAAATGTCTTAAAATCTTCAAACGACTTCTTCTCAATAACCAAAATGCCCAGGGTACTGATATTGGGCTTGTAGCATGCTGGGATGAAGGGCTACCAAGTTTGTTCAAATGAATGACATTGACCCACTTTCAAGGTCACAGGGGTCAACTGTCTTAAAATCTTCAAACAACATCTTCTCAATAACCAAAAGGCCCAGGGCACTGATATTGGGCCTGTAGCATGCTGGGATGGTGGGCTACCAAGTGGGTTCAAATGAATGACCTTGACCAACTTTCAAGGTCACAGGGGTCAAATCAGAGACGTATCACGTCTCTGGGTCAAATATGTTAAAATCTTCCAACGACTTCTTCTCAATAACAAATATGTAATATATACGTCTCTGCTCTTTATAAATAATTTACCAAACTGTGTACAATCAAATGTTCACCTCTTTGCTGATGATTGCCGTCTGCTTTTCAGAACTATACACAACAAAAACGATTCTTCACAACTTCCAGATGACCTCTCAAATCTACCAAAGTGGGAGTCTAAATCACAGATGAGCTTTAATACAGATAAATGCTTTGCCATCAGAATGTGCAAGAAGCGCTCTGTCATCACTGCCAACTACTTTACCAGTGGTCAAACCCTCCAGATAGTTCCTGCTAGCAAAATTCTATGTGTTTCCATTTCTCAATATCTCTCCATTTGTATTAAAATTGCATACATTGTCCATGCTGCTTTTTAAAAATATACAGTTTTATATGCAATGTAATCCACGTGATTTGTAGTATCGTACGTACACGCCAAAGAAAACGCCGCTTCGGGTGTATTTTTTTCGTTGTAACTTGTCTTATAAATCGAATGGGACCGGTCCAGGCGCAAAGTATCCACAAAATCCCCGCTGCTTTCCAGTGATATCGGTGACATTTCCCAACGGTTCGTGGTTAATAAATTAACACAAATTAGCGTGCTGGGATGCCAAAATTCATTGAAGTACACAAACATGTTCATAATCGAGATGTCATCCTATTGTAATTGTTTTTTGACAAAAGGAAAGAATAACGAAGATATACTGCTTCGTCTGCGAATGGCGTTATTTTCATTAATATTAATTTGATGCAATATCGTACACACCAGAAAATGGGAACGGGAATAATGTAAAATTGTTTGTAGTAATTAATTCATAGTACATGTATTTTCGAAGTGTAGCCTGGCGGAGAGCAGAAAAAAACAGTATACAGAAATACAAATGTTGGAACAGTCGAAAATGACTTCGGTGGGTGAAATTCTTGTGGAAATCTCTCCGTGTTTTTTGCACTTAAGTGGAAATATATTTTTTTACACTTAAGTGGAAATCTTTTACGCTTAAGTTTAAAAAGTACATAATGGTCATTTGGTTTTTTTGCACTTAAGTGCCAAAGTTTTTGCACTTAAGTAGTTTATGTATTTTATCCTAAAACGGCCGCCCATAAGATATCACCGCCAATTTCATGACTTTTTACATGTTGCATGGACCGAACCTGCCCCAAGTTGATATTTCAAAAAATCGTATAGTAGAGCAATACGAAAGTCGATGATAGGAGTCTATATATGCCATTATATGAAGATGACATAAATTAGTCGTGATTCACTTTACATAAAGTACGCAAAACTAGAAAGAAGTGAGTCGTGATTTCTTTCTACCCTTCCAAACTGTCTGCTTTATAGTAATTTTATACTTGCTTTGAGTTTTCCTCACCATTGTTTTCATGCCCAGCCAACTAAACTGAAAGTTGTAAATATTTGCTCAAGATCGAAAATATCAGGGGTGGCGGATGTGACACCCTTTGGACAAAAGAATCTTATTAACATACATTTTTTTTTATCTAAAATAGGGGTTTAATCACGGACTAAGATAGCAATAATGTAATTCCATGGTTTAATATGTATACACCGGTTACACTGACACTTTGATAAATGCCTCTAAACACATTTTAAATTTTGCCGATAAAAATCGTTACATTGGTTGAAGACATTTAAATGTTACAGATATTTTATAATTTAAAGTGTATTTTTGGTTTCAAGTCACAATTTTTGTATCGAAATTAATTTGTTTTAAATGCTTCAATAAATTTGTTACTGTTAACTTTAACAGATTTAAGGAGGGGCTTGGAGGGGACCCAGGGCCCAACTTGCACCGCTCTCCCTTATCCCCCCCCCCCCCCCCCCCCCCCCCCCCCCCCCCCTTGTTACGAAGAATGTTTGGACTCATAATGTTTATTTTATGCCTTTTCATGGGAATTAAGAATTAAAAAAACTTGCAAGTTTGATAATATTTATCAGTATTTTTATAGCTTTTCTATATAATCGACTTGGCACCCCTTGATCTGTTTCGGGCGTCCTCTACAGCATTATAAGAGTTGAAGTAAACGCTGACTAAAGATATTCCGAAGAGATATGGACTGTTCCATTTTATTACAATATGTTTTGATTTCTGTCTCGTAACTTTTCAAATATAGATAAGTGACCCAATGCTAAAGACCTTACTCACAGTTTACTATTAGTAGGTAATACATTATTATTTTAAGTTTAAAAGTAATATTTTATTATTTTGATGAAAGCAAACGTCCCTATCTCATGAAAGTGACACCGTCCAGATATGGCGACCTTTGGGATCTTCAGCAGGGCATCGAAGATACTCACTTTGAGAACGTCGTCACCTGTGCTACGTTTACACAGAGCCATGTCGAGTTTACTGATAGACAACCCCAAATACTCGTGGCTTAAGGACCTGGGCTTGTCATCATCTAACAATGGCGTGTATTACGGCAAGTGGGGAGGATCGGGACAGGTAAACAACACGAAAACCGGCACCTGTGTCTTCACGGTCATTGACTAATTTTTGTGTCTTATACGTGGACAGCACACGTGTAACAATGTGATTTACAACATTTTTGTAGAGCAAACGACACGTCTGTATTTATATATTACTGTAGTAACTCATGTATATGTTGTACACTGCATACCACGGGGACCTTGAAAGGTGTGTGTGAATGGCGTATACTGATTGGTCAATAATTGTGCAGACACATGCACTATGGTCACATATGTAGCATTACTTATACTCATTATTGTTATCCTGTGCAATGTCTTTCAGGTTTCAGTTGACAGATTTTGGAAGCAAACTATTATAAAATAACCACTGCAAAGTTTGCACATAGCTGTCCATTTATTATAATAACGCAGATGCTAGTCATGTCTGTCGAGGCCAATCTAAGAACTGTCGAAGATACAAGAAGCTTTATTTATTCTCGCACCTCAGACAGAGATATTCCACGTCATACGCAATGCTAGATTTTTCTATCTCGTCCGATCTGTCTTTTACCTTTACGTGACATTTCGCGGAAATTTTACACTGAGATGTATTCATCCGCGCGTTAACTGCTTGAAATTGACAATTTGCATTATAAAATTAAATGTTCTGTTTTGTTGTTATATGTATAGTTTTGATGTAACGTTAGATATTTGATGTTGTAGATAAACTATAATCTACACTGTGAAATACGTTGTCATCTGATCTATATAAGGACAGACTACATTTTTACCCGGAAGCGTTCAAATGTAGCTTAAGTAGTGAAAAGGTCATTATCATTTGAGGCCCAAGGCGGGATACTTATAGTTTTTTTTTCGAACTAAAAGACATGTGCGAGAAAAAAATCAATTACCTGTAACTGAGCCAGATCGGGTTATCTCAGTCTCGGGCTAAGATTCTGTAACATCTTACGCGTCGGTTGGGATTTTGTTACAGAACCTTAACCCTCGACTGAGTCTGAGATTAATAAAATCTTTCATCCCCTCGGGGATGAGATAGGGGGATCTCAACCCTCGGGGGAAGATTCTTAATTTGCCAAACACGAGGCTGTGCCAAGTGTTTGGCAACTTAAGAATCTTCCCCCGAGGGTTGAGATCCCCCTATCTCATCCCCGAGGGGGTGAATGATTATTTTTCTCTTACCCTGTTGTTCCTGTCCAAGTGTAAGACGAAGCATATTGTTTATAAACAGGAACTTGTGGATAGCGTATTAATATTATATGTATGCGTCAGACGGTTCACGCATCATATTTTAAACATTTTAAAATCAATCCCATCTTCTTTGACGTCAAATGTAAACACGACAAGATTAGCAGACAAACTTGTGTATGTGTGTGACCTCATAAAAGTAGTTCTTCTTCTGGGTCACATCAGTGACGTCAGGTTTATAGTGGAGAACGTGCAAAGAGCACGTGTAGCTTGTCTCAACCCTAGGGTGAGACAAGGAAATCTCATACCGGTAAAAGTAAGGAAAAATCTGTCCAGGTTAAGAGAAAAGCCGATCTCTCGCACAGTTATAGGTAATAGATTTTATTAGTGTCGTATATGGCATAACATTGAAACATTAGCTCTGTGGAGCTAATTTTTACGACAAACATAAATAAAACAGAGTAATAACAAGGTAAAACGCATGCTAGTAGAAAAGGTAGGATTATGCAACAAAATTATATGCGTTGAACTACTAAAATAATCAGAAAACAGTTTGATGATAGTACATGTATGTTAAAAAGCAGGAACAGTACTAATTATAACATAAGCATTTAAATCATAAGCATAAAACATATAAAAACATATCAGATTTAGCAAGCACATATTTCATATATATCACAGATGGTTAATACGATACTTTATATTGGAAAATGATGGAATAAAATACACAGACAAATTAAAGTAAAGTAAGAAGCAAAATAAAAGCAAAATCTCAAATAAAAATGGGGGATCAATAAGATGAAAGTCAGGAACATATAGAACCAGTAGTATGGGTGTACTACTGTACTTTGTAGTCCAATAAGAGAAAATTTGATGCATTAGCAAATTAGACAAAAATTAAATTCTGTTCATCAACAATGTTTCGTCTTTAATTTTACCAGGTCAGTCAGTTTGCAATCATGTCATTTATTCTTCAATGATAACGTACTTAATCCTGGCATTGTCATTTAATGATGCTATTATATATGTGACAATGTCTATTTATAGTGTAGCCAGTTCCAATGTTAAGGTAATTAATACACCTGACTCAACAATGTCTTTAGGGTTTTGTTATTTATTTTTGGGGCAAATTCCCTGACAACCGCGCAAGTGCAAACCATAAATACACATTTGCATGATATCACAGGAAATTATAACATTCATTCAATTTAAGATCCACTTAAATTAATAATGGTATTAAATTGCTATAAGAGAATAATAGAATCCATCCCTGATGTGAGATGAGGCAATTCAAACCCAAGGGAAAAAATATTGAGCAGGAAACTGTAGAGTGCATGCTTGAACAAACTCAAAATCAAAGGATAATGTGAAGGCACCTGTAATACATCTTTAGGAGAAATATAAAGTTTGTTCAAGAGTGCGCTCTATGGTAACTAAGAAAAACTAGGCAAAAACCTGTCAAAATTTACTGAATATTCAAATTTCATTAATTTATGCAAATATCAACTGGTTACCATGGCAGCCATAATTGAAAACCTAAATAAATGTTCACATTATAGTACCAGGGAAGTATTCAAAATTATAGTAACAGTCATTTGAAAGTTTTATCGAAGATTTTTAATTTTGATGGATTTGGGGGCCAAAAAAGGCCCAAACCATACATAGTCCATAGAACTCTCCGATGCTGCAATGCGGAAAAGGCGATGTGATGAAATTGAACCTTTTACATTATATATTCACCGTACAGGCGAACAAGTCAGAAAGATGAGATTAATTTTTATGCGCAAACATGATTTGCAAATATGGGACATGCTTAATCTGGCTGGCTAATTCGTTTTTCGTCTAAAAAGTTCAGGGGAAAAATTGATATTTTCAAAATGGTGGCCAGTCCAAACGCATTTTCATGGTTTCTGAGCTTATTCTGGTGGTTGGAATGAGAGAAAAATACTCTTTCATGCCGAAGGGTGTAGAATAGGGAAATTCCACCGGAGTTTTTTTTAAATTTAGTAAAACCCGAGGCTACACCCCTGTGCATGAAAGAGTCTTATATTCCATACCTCACATCAGGGAAGGAATCTATTATTCTCTTATAGCAATATATTTTAATACTACATATTATTTAATTGAGTGAATATTAAATTTTCAGAAAATGTCTTCTTGAACTATCTACAAAAGTACTTGTATGTTCATTTTATATTATACAATACATAATTATGTAGCAAAATTGATTGATTTTTTTTATTGTGAAAATTCCTTAACTTTAAATATGTTGTGATACATCAGAGACATATATACAGCTAGTTTTTTAGTCGGTCGTTAATCTTATTTTTTCTATATTTACTTCCTTCACATGGACATTTATTCCTTTTTTATTATATTATGTAATATATATGTCTCTGGATACAGGTATTATCGTTTTGCCATTTGTAAAAAGTCTGGTTCTTTTGAGAATTGGTTTTTAATGATCCATTTTTGTATTTGAAGGAAACAACATCATATTGCCCAGCAAACAAACAGCCCATTGCCAAGGTCACACAGGTAAGGTCATGATCTATGATGCTTATATTGTACCTATAATTATGGTATGGGAGTCTCACCATTGATGTACCATTACAATTGATGGTTTAGAGGTACGTGTATGCACTCTACACTTCTCCAAAGCAGAAAGAAATGTTTGATAAAATGCTGCATGATAACTGATTGTAATTTTTTAAGTCCAACCTTAAACTGAGCAGGTGCTTATATTTATAACCATTGTCCAACAACATTGGTGATAAAGAGGTTCATTCTCAAAGTAGAAACTTTATATTGAAAACATTTAGTATTCTTTAAATGGATTCAAACATGAAAATTAATTATGTGCTGACATGGACGCTGGCATGGTCTGATCTTCGAAATCCAAAATGTTGGTTTACCCAGTTGAAGGTACATTTAGATGTTAAAATTCAATTGTGTTGCTTGTATTATCAACATATTACTCTATCTCTCTTGCTATATACTGTACGTATCGGCCTAGATTTCCTCTGGCATAGCAGTCAACAGGAGCCTCTAACCCACTGATAGGATTGTGATCAGAGGGATCTGAATTATACTATTACTGATGTTATTCATGTTCATGACTGCATTCAATCGATGCAAGTTTTATTAGCTTACCATAATCAAATTTTCCTATTCAATTTATGAAAAATTTATGCCTAAATGCAAGAATTTTTGTAGTTAGTATCTAAGTATTTAAGGGTGGTTATTGCATTTATATTAATTTATCATGAAAATATTACTGAGTCAAACTTAACCTTAGCTGTATCATATCAAGCAAACAGAAGCTACAGAACAGAGGATCAGAGAGAGTACCCATTTATAATAAATTACGTATCACAACTCAGTCAAATCAGAAGTATTATACAAGTTATTGGTTGGCATTTCCCAATCAACATATACTGCCCTTCATTTCATGTGAAAATACTCTGAATTTACCTATCTAGCCTGCACATAAATACTGTGATTACTGAATATGTGTCTATTGCGAACACACTGTTTCATGAGCAGAGAAGGCGTCTAGTACTGTCTACTGCGAAGTATATCGACATATTTTCGTTACAGGCTAGTCCTGCTGATTATGAGGAGGCCATTCAAGCAGCCAAGGAGGCATGGAATGTATGGGCTGATGTAAGTGTCCATACTACTACTGTTTTAACACTGATATTTTTGCTAAGGAGAATTTCAATTTCTCCTGTGACTCGATCACTCTTCTGACAGTGACCTGACCTATGACCTTAAGGGACATTGAAGACAATGGGGGCCATTCTGGGCTTTGAATCTGGGATCCTCAAAGCGGAGACAGACACTCTGACCAACTAAGCTACTGGTCCTGGTCCCCACGTCCAGTAGCTGTCCTGTCATGAAACACTACACTTTTATTTTTAGGTCACCTGAGCTTTGCTCAAGTGACCTATTCCAATCGCTTTTCGTCCGTCGTCGTCCGTCGTCCGTCGT